CAGGAGAATCTCCCTGCTGGTGAGCTGTGAAATGTGGAGGGAGTCACCCATAAGGCCAACAGTTGTGGTGGGGAATAATCTGGGATAAGAGCAGAGCCCTTGAGGAGAGCAAGGAGACCAATGTAGAGCCCATCAGAAGAGAGAGGCATTAAGGAGGGAGGCTGTCTTCTGAAAATCCAGTCGTGGGAAGTTGGGAGGGCGTGTGGAAGACTTGCTTGGATGTCTGGGGTGGCTTTAGGGTGTGGTTGGCCTTGTTGTAGAGGGAATGACTTTGGCAGAGGGGACAGCAGACTTCCTAGGAAGACTTTGAAGGCTTTGTGGTTGGAGGGAACATGTGAAGAGCAACTTCAGTACTCTGGAGAGGAGGAGCCAGTTGGGATTGATTTTTTCAAGGGACTTCAGTTATCATCAGAGGAAATGGAAAATTCTCTAAGAAATGCAGTCGTGTCTCTCTATCAAAGCTGATTGTCAGGCTGAACCTTCTTGCTCTGTGTGAATGCTGCATATCTTCCATACACTTCCCAAGTGTCATTTGGGAGTACAGTTTGAAGTTGCTGTGGATATCCAGGTTTCTCTGTAAGGTGTCCTGCTGCCTGGCTGCTTTCTTGCTTTTGCCTATGCTGTTGGGATGGGAGTGGGAATGGAAAAATTAATGAAAAAAATTTTCTGGTAGCATGAAGTGCATCTAAAAGGGTTTGGTCTAGAACAGGCTGGTCGGAAGGGTTGATGTGTCAATCACGGCATTATTGTCCAAGATTTATTGTGGATCTTAGTGAAATTCTTTCTGCTGAGGAGCAATGTGACCATGAGGCTGCCAAAGGGGGATGTGTCTAGCGAAACCCACGAGCTCCCTCATGTTCTCAAACTTTCTCGTGGATCCGTTTTTTGTGTTTTATGGCACGTTGCTATCGTGTTACGCTGTTAATGTGCCAAATGCATTTTCTAACGCTATTCAAAAGATGCTCTTTAACGTTTCCTGTGTCCTTCTGTCAAGTGCCAGAAATACTAAAGCCTGCTTCTAGCAAACTGGTTTTCAATCCCACTTGTCTCTGTGCATCTCTGTGAACTTGGGTATCTGAGCAAATGCGTCTTCCTTGGCTGGTTTTGTTAGTTTTTTTGAACATCAGAAATCAGCACATTGCCTTCCTGTGTCACCTCATCCTGTCTGGGAGGATTTCTGCTCCACGAGCAGATACATGGAGGTTGGACCTCTGGGCTTTCCTTTTGGGTGGACCGCCTAATCTGACAGCAGAATAACCTCGCCTACGTCATGCTGTCAGCTTTTATGACTTTCATGTCAGCCATACCACTTGCAGTGGAACATGCCTCTGGAGCATGGAGGAAGCCCAGGCTCTTTTCAGGCTTTAACATATGTTGGAGTGACGAGGAGAAAAGAAATAAAAATTTAAATAGCTCCTACTGTGTTTTCAGAAGGTTGACTTTTAGATCATAGGTTTGAATGGATCTTCGTTGCTTATCCAATTAATTTTCCTTCTGTTGGAGGTGATGGTGGAGGGAATCTTACCCTTTAGTCCAAACAGCTCCAAACATCTCCTCGGCTGTCTGCTGGTTGTGGTGGGTTCTTGACCCTGGGACCTGCTTCTGGTACAAAGGCGGTAGACTCGAGCCTAGGGGCTGACCCTGGCTGCGCTGGGTAGGTTTGATTTCGGTTGCAGTAGCTCCTGGCAGCTCAGAGGACAAGTGTATGGAGATGGGAGGTGACCCTGGCCGGGATTATGGTGCCCGACTGATTTTATGCAGTGATGGGCAGAGGGACAGTGAGGGCAGATGAGCAGAAGCAGTGACCTTGTGAAATTACTAGTCTAAGGTTTTTCCTGTTTAGAGATTTCCATACAATACTTCCAAGGCAGTTGACTTTCCTCTTCCCCATCCCCTTGCACTGATGAGATAGTCTCTAAATAACTCTCACCGGCTCTCAAGGCCTTAAACTGTCAAGCCAATACAAAAAGCTGTTCTAATAGTACAGATAACGGCCCTGTTAGTTTTTATCTCCAGGAGCTGGTCCCTATCAGGTGCTTCTCAGGCAGCTAAAAATACCCAGGCTGCCCAACGATGAGCAGGGAGTGCTGCGGGTATGGCGAAACCCTCTTTCTGGGAGGCAGGAACGACGCCTTTGAAGTTCAACTCTGAGATAAGCAGGTTTTTCAGTGAAGTGGATGGTCTAGAAGAGAGCTGGTGCAGGATAAATCTGCCCTCTGCAGCATCAGGCAGCTCAGGTGGCTGCGGTGCTTCTGCCCTGCACCCGCGGCTTGGTCCTGAACAGGAGAGACCTAATGATTGCTCCAGAGAGAGTTTTTTCATCAGTTATATTTCGTATTTATATGTAAAAAAGAAACCCATCTGCATTTATGTAACTCCATAGTTTAAATATGCATGTCTACCTTGCATAAATAAAAATATGTATAGAATTGCATAAATAAATGCCTTTTAATATTTATATATAATCTATATTATTTGTATGTGTATCCATAATTGGCTACGCTTACAACAGTAAAATATAAAATACTTTTGGGATAGCATGGCTTGCGTGGGTGGCTGCTGCATTTAATTCGGCCACTTCTTCCAGTTAACGGGGG